CTGCGAGCCAATAAACCTTTATTTCTTTGTAGATCACCCAGTCTCAGGTACTTCTGTTGGGAATGCAATAGTGAACTCATACACCTGCTCCCAAAAACAGATATAACAAGTATACAGATCAGCAAAGATGCAGCAAACTTGAAAAACGGTATCAGTCAACAAATTTAATTTACAGACTACTACATTCAACAAAAGCAGAATATATATTTTTTTCCAAGTGCACATGGAATATTTACCAATATAGACCATATTTTTAGTCACAAAAATGTGTCAATAAGGGAACCAGCAGTTGGCGTGATGGCTATGTTGCTGGACTCCCACGTAGTCGACCGCGGTTTGCGTCCCGGAACCGGTGGCTTAAAACTCACGCCGGGCGCGTGTGCATGCATGCCCAAGATCCCGAGAGGAGAATGGAGGAGAAGGGATTGCGGCGTGACCATCCCCCCTGGGGGGTGATTTCTTGTTTTCTGTCTCTATGTCTCTCTCTGTCTGTCTGGTGAGCGCACGCGCCCTACAGCAAAAACCTCTCCAAAAAAAAAAAATGTGTCAATAAGTTTGAAGAGATTTAGAGTATATAAAGTATGTTTCTAACCATGATAGAATTAAATTAGAAATAAATAGCAACAGAAAGATAATCTGGTAAATTCCTAAGTATTTGAAAATAAAAGAACATACTTTTAAATCGCCCGTGGATGAAAAAAAAATATCAAAAAGACAATTAGAAGATATTTTGAGCTGATGGGGCCAGCAGGTGGCATGGAGGTTAATGTGCTGGATCCCACGTGGCTGAGTCTGTGGTCTGAGTCCTAAACCTGGTGGCTTGATAAACACACTGGGCTGTGTGAATGCATGCCCAAAATCCAAGAGAAGAAGGGATGGTATGGCTATCCCCCCGGGGGTGATTTCTTCAGTGGTATGGCTATCCCCCCGGGGGTGATTTCTTGCTATCCCTCTCTGTCTCTCTGTGGTGAGCATGCAGACCCTATGGCAAAAATCTAAAAAACAACAACAAACAGAAAATATTTTGAGTTGGATATAAATGAAAATACAATATATCTGAATTTGTGGAATGTCACTAATTTGAGAAAGAACAAAATTAGAGTACTTATACTATATCTTTCTGTTAGATAGACCCCTGAATGGCCTTTAGGTAATTTCCCATCAGAAAATAAAGAGATGGTTACAATAACCCTCTGGCTGGAGCCCTCCCTTTCTGGCAGCTGACGCCCATAGTTGGGCACACAAGGTCACAAAAGCAAGTAAGCTAATCAGTTGCCGCCCTTTTCGTGACCCTATCCCTCCACCCTTCCAAATAAATACAGCACATCTCCTGGGTAGGCAGGATGGAATGAAGCACTTCTAGCATCAGACCCCTCCGAGAATTCTTTCTCTCAATAAACTTTCCTTTTTCTCCTAAAATGACTGGCTCCTGAATCTTACTCCAAACCATGACACTTTCCAAGGTATTATTTATTATAATTATCTACGGCAAAGCCACAGTGATCAATACAGTATTAGTATAAAGACAGACACATACATCAGAGTGCAACCGAATATAAAGCACACAAATAGACTCAATTCACTTTTGACTATGAAACATAAAAATAAATGTTATTATCTGGAGTTAAGCAAAGATTGTTAAACAAATCAGAAGATGCACAAACTAGGGTACGGGGGTTAAGGTGCTGGACTCTCTCACGGCTGACTGCAGTTTGAGTCCCTGACTTGGCAGCTTGAAAATCACACTGGGTACGTGTGTGTGCATGCCTAAAAGTTTCAGGAGGAGAATGGAGAAGGGATTGTGGCTTGGTCATTCCCCCTGGGGAGGGGAGATGATTTCTTTCTTTTTTTTTTTTTCTTTTTTTGGAGAGGTTTTTACTATAGGACACGTGCGCTTGCCAGACAGACAGAGAGAGACAGAGAGATAGAAAGCGAGAAATCACCCCCCAGGGGGGATGGCCATGCCGCAATCCCTTCTCCTCCGTTCTCCTCTCGGGATCTTGGGTACGCACGCACACACGCCCGCGTGAGTTTAAGCCACCAGGTCCAGGACTCGAACCGCGGTCGACTACGTGGGAGTCCAGTGACATAGCCATTACGCTAACTGCTGGTCCCCCATGATTTCTCACTTTTATCTCTTGCTGTCTCTGGCAAGTATACACGCCTATGGCAAAAACCTTGAAAAAAGATGCACACACTATAGAAGGAAAAATTCATGAAATATAACTTTTCAAAATTAAAAACTTCTGCTCTTCCAAAGACACTGTTATGAAGAAGCAGACTACTAACTGAGAGAAAATATTTTCAAATGGTATCCATCACAGAATGTATGCAGATTACTAAGGAATTCTTATAACTCAAACATTAGATGACAGCCCACCTTTTAAAATGGGCAGGACATTTGGACAGATACTTCACTAAAAATATATGAGTGGAAAGTGAGCCCACCTTTTAAAATGGGCAGGACATCTGGACAGATACTTCACTAAAAATATATGAGTGGAAAGTGAGCCCACCTTTTAAAATGGGCAGGACATCTGGACAGATACTTCACTAAAAATATATGAGTGGAAAGTGAGCACACAAAGAGATGTTCAACATCATTAGTCCTGAGAGAAAAATAAAATGCAATGATAATGAGATATTGCAAACCCTTTTGAATGGCTAAAGTGAAAAAGACTGATAATACCAAAAGTGTTTGAGGATATCGAGCCCCTGATAGTTTCTTACATTCGCAATGGAAATGCAAAAATAGTGCAGCCACTTTGGAAAACAGTCTGGCAGTTATAAAGTTAATATACACTTACCACATAACCCAGAAATTCTACTCCTAATTATTTACTCAAGAGAATACATTTCTACACAAAAGCTTGTATTTGAATATTCACAACAGATCTATTCACAACAACCCCAAACTGGATGGTGAGAGTTCACTCACTCCTAGAGTCACTATGTGCTATACTTCAAAAATCAAAGACTTGTATCAGTGGCGGACTGACTGTCTCCAGGCTTTTCCCTGCATCTAAGAGGGTTTCAAAGTTAAGTGGACCTCCCATTGAGTTGGATAAATACTCTTGTTCTTGGGTTTTCTTGTTCTGGGCAAGTGGAAAGTCAAAGAACAATGAAACCGGACTTTCCACATTCTAGAGCACAAAAGCTTGAGTTGCTTTTGTTTAAAAAGGGCCAGCTGCTGTGGCACAGTGGTAATGCAGGTGCCCTGCAAGAATGAAAGCCATAGAGCCAACTGCAGGTTTAGATACTTGGTTTGGCTTGAAAATACCACATTGCCTGAGTGCCCAGAATCCCAAGGAACTGGAGAGCTGGGAAAGGGGATCCTTGAAGGTGCTTCTGTCTGTCAACCTCATAGGCATGCACGTGTGCTTTCCATCATTACAAATGAAGAAGGAGGGAGAGAAGGAGGAGATGGAGGAGGAGGAAAAGAAGAAGCAAAAGAGAATTATCCTTGAATCCTAAGTGTCTGGTTGTGAAACAGTTTATAAAAGATTCACACAGGTGACATGGCAGTTAAGGCAGCTTGATTCTACATAGCCGACTGCATGGTTTGAGTCCTGGACCCAGCAGCTTGAAAAATACTGGGGCGCATGCTCATGAGTGCCCAAAATCCCAAGAGGAGAATGGAAAAGGGATTGTGGTGTGGTCATACCCGGGTGGTGATTTCTCATTTCCTCCCTCTCTCTTTTCCCTCTGTTTGTCTCTCTCTGTTGAGCGCACGAATCCCATTCTTTGCAGATTGAAAATAGTAGGCCCAGTCTTGCTGCCTAGTATGTAACACATGGGGCTGTGGTGCTAGAAGCCACATGGTTGACCACAGATTCAGATCCTGGAGTTGGCCTGGAAGTAAGTCAGATATGTATATGTGTTTATCCAGAATACTGGAAAGCTAAAGGGCTGGGGAAGGGATCACAGGATGATGGGACACTGTTGAGGGTGCTTCTCTTTCTCTCTGTGCATGCACACATGCTTGCTATCATGAATAAAATAAACAGACAAATTAAAAATAGGCCAGCCCTATAATCTACTGGTTAAGAGAGTCAGATCCCCTATGGCTAACCATGTTGGCCTTGGTGGCTTGAGAAACACGCATGTGTGCGCATGACCCAAATCCTAACAGGATGAAGAAATAAATGAAAAGGAGTTGCAGAGTAACCATGCCTTATTAAGGAGTGCTTTCTCCCTTTCCCCCTCTCTGTGTCTTTTTCCCATAAGTGCATGAGACCTCTAGGAAAAAAAAAATGTAGTAAAATAATCAGGAAGTAGGTTTACAAAGAATTAACTGTTATCTCCTCAGAGATTTTCACGTCCATACTATGTAATCCTATAACTTTATTACCTCTTTATTAGTAGCACTTATTACTTTTTTTTTTTTTGGGAGAGGTTTTCTCTATAGGGCGCGTGTGTTCGCCAGACAGACAGAGAAAGACATAGAGACAGAAAGCGAGAAATCACCCCCCAGGGGGGATGGTCATGCCGCAATCCCTTCTCCTCCGTTCTCCTCTCGGGATCTTAGGCACGTACACACACGCGCCCAGCATGAGTTTTAAGCCACTGGGTCCGGGACGTGAACCGCGGTTGATTACGTGGGAGTCCAGCGACATAGCCATTACGCTAACTGCTGGTTCCCAGCACTTATTACTTTTAAAAGCAGAAAAAAATAGAAAAACTTACAAAGACCAAATTAAACAAAAAAAGGCACTAGTTTTTTCTTTTTTTTTTTTTTTTTTTTTTTAAATATGAGATTTCACAGTGCCTTAGATTAGTTATTTTCCATCCTTGCCGGCTCCCTGAGTAGACAGCCTGCTGGGCTGGTGTCCTCTTCAGGCAGACCTGGTCTTGGCTTTGCACACAGCACCTGGAGTTCTGCCAGATTCCAGAGGGACCCAAGAACAACACAAAGCAGTAAGCTTTGCAGCTTCTTCTCTAGGCTAACCTGGTAGCTGAAATATCAATAAGGAAGGGGAGTAAATAGAGAACTGACTTACTTTCTTTGTTATTGTGCATTTCCAGCTGAAGATACTCTGTAAATTCCTGACGCTTTTTAGGATCCGCCATATATCTGCGATACTTGCAAAAGCTCTTGATAAAATTGATCATTTTCATCCAGCTTCTCTTCTGAGGAGAGAAAGAGGGGTAGGTCATATTAGACAACTACTTGCTGAGTGTCTAGAAATTTGGCATTTAATCCTCACAATACATTTATAAACGAACAATTTTTAGCTCTAATTTAAAAGTGAGGAAACTGATCCTTTTGTAGGATTGGTATAGAAGGGTCATTTCTGAACACAATAAAAGCAATCTATGAAAAACCTACAGCTAACATTATACTGAAAACAAGTACTAGGCAAGGCTGCCCACTTTCTCCACTGCTCTTTAATATAGTACTGGAAGTCTTAGCTATTGCGATCAGAGAAAAGAACAATATTAAAGGCATTCGAATAGGCAAAGAAGAGCGGAAAATATCTTTATTTACAGATGACATGATGGTATACTTAGAAGACCCAAAGGTATCCATGAAAAAACTGCTTGAAGTAATAAGTGAATACAGTAAGGTGGCAGGATACAAAATCAATATCCAAAAATCTATAGCATTTCTATTTATGAACAACAAGTTGAACGAAGCAGAGCTGAAGAAAGGAATACCTTTCACCGTAGCCACAAGATGTATAAGATATCTAGGGATAAACCTAACTAAGAAAGTCAAAGACCTTTATAAAGAAAACTACGAGAATCTTAAAAAAGACATTGAAAGTGACATAAAAAAGTGGAAGGACATCCCATGCTCCTGGATTGGTAGAATTAACATAATCAAAATGGCAATTCTACCCAAATTAATCTACATGTTTAATGCAATTCCAATCAAAATACCAGAGATATTCTTCAGAGATCTAGAAAAGACAATTATAGAATTTGTCTGGAACCATAAAAGACCTCGTATTGCAAAAGCAATCCTGCGTAAGAAGAATGGAGTAGGAGGCATATCACTCCCTGATCCTAAGATATATTATAAAGCTGTGGTCATCAAAACAGCATGGTATTGGCATAAAAACAGACATGTGGACCAATGGAAGAGAATAGAGACCCCAGAAATAACTCCCAAAGCTTATAGCCAACTGATCTTTGACAAAGGATATCAGTCAATCCATTGGGAAAAGGAAAACCTCTTTAGTAAATGGTGCTGGAAAAACTGGGTATCCACCTGCAGAAAGATGAAACTGAACCCCCATCTTTCACCATTAACAACAGTCAACTCAAAATGGATCAAAGATCTGAACCTAAGACCTCAGACAATAAAACTACTTGTGGAAAATGCTGGGGAAACTCTGGGAGACATTGGAGTAGGCAAAGACTTCTTAAATAAGACTCCCAAAGCACAGGCAATAATCCCTAAAATAGACAAGTGGGACTATATTAGACTAAGAAGTTTCTGCACAGCAAAGGACACAGTAACAAGTGTGAACCGACAACCCTCAGAATGGGAAAATATTTTTGTTAAATATGCCTCAGACAAGGGACTGATAACGAGAATACATAGGGAACTCAAGTGCCTTATGCGAAAAAAAATGATTAACCCGATTAAAAGATGGGAAAGTGAGCTGAACAAAAGTCTCTCTAAGGAAGACATACGAACAGCCAAAAAGCATATGAGGAAATGCTCGACATCCCTCATCATAAGGGAAATGCAGATAAAAACCACAATGAGATACCACCTAACCCCTGTCAGAATGGCAAAGATTAAGAATATAAAAAGTGATAAGTGTTGGCGGGGATGTGGTGAAAAGGGAACCCTCCTACACTGTTGGTGGGAATGTAAACTAGTTCAACCACTGTGGAGAACAATATGGAGGTTCCTCAAAGATCTACAAATAGAACTACCATTTGATCCAGCAATCCCACTTCTGGGTATTTACCCAAAAGACAGGAGAACGCTCAGTCAGAAAAGTGCTTGCACATCCATGTTTATTGCAGCATTATTCACAATTGCCAAGACATGGAACCAACCTAAATGTCCACAAACTGATGAATGGATTGGAAAAGTGTGGTATATATACTCTATGGAATACTACTCAGCCATAAAAAATAACAAGACCCTGGAATTTGATAGAAAATGGTCAGATATGGAGGATCTATTGCTGAGTGAAGTAAGCCAGGCTATGAAAGAAAGATATTGTATGTATCCACTCAATATATACCGACTATCCGCACTCTATAATAGAGAGCAAAAATTCGGAGGACATAAACACAGTGAAGGTACTTAATGAGAATAGGACAGTGTGGAATGGGGTAAGTGAAGAGAAGAGGATAGAGAAAGATAGCAAGTGAACAATAGAGAGACAGGACGTTAGTGAGAAACAGATAGGGGTTATTAACTGTTGATGATGACATGTATAGTATTCTCAACTGGATTGGTCTGAGAAGTATTTCATGATGGACAAAGTATTTTTACAAGCAAAATGAGAAATAGCAATTGACTGTTTTAAAAAATAATTAGAATAATGAAAATAATGATTGGGGAAAACATAGAAAAGATATTGAATGTTGAAGTGGGGAGATTAATGTCTCTATACTGACTGACATGCATGGCATTCCCTTTTGAAAAAACAATGTAATACACTGTAAAGTTATATGTAATCCAATGTAATATAAAGAAGATTATGATGATAATTAAAAAAAAGAAAGAAAGAAAAAAGCAATAAAAAAAAGAAAAAATAAGTGAGGAAACTCAGGTCAGAAGAGCTTATATGAAGGGACCTCAAAAAGTTTGTGAAAAAATGGAGTTAAAGTATGAGCTTATTTCAGTGCAATTTTTTTTTCAGATGCACGCATAGTTTTTTTCATAATAGGCATTTTCTGTGAACATTTTCAAAGCCTTGCAGATATGTAAATCCAAATGTAGTGTTTAGTACAAAGTAGGCATTAATACATTTGGTCTTTCATCTTACCTAAGAGCAACTGGAAGATCTGAAATGAAAACAGTGTCCTGGTTCTAGATACAGCATTCATTTAAATATCCAATATGATTTTTTACAATGCCCTAACATGGAATTGATTCATATACAGAGAAAATATAGATAAGAAGGGAGAGAGAAACACATTTTCATCTCTGGAGTATTGGACCAATGGACTTACGCATTATTTTTCAGAGTTATCTTAGCATAGGCTTTGGAGTCAGATGGAGCTACATGCAAATTTTTCTGATACTAACTCAAAAAACTTTGAATGAGTGATTATTTAAGGGAGCATGTATATTTTCTTTGTCAAACCGTATAGAGAGTTTTCCTGTGTAACATTCCTGTCTCTTCTTTATTTCCTTTTTTCCTCTCCTCCCATGAGAAAGAATAAGCCAGATAACTGATGAGTTTGGAAGAAGGAAATGAGCATGCTCTTCTCTCATCCTGTGACCTTCTCTCTCTGTGTATTTGCTGGACCCTGGTTTTAGACCTGCCTTTGTCACACAGGTAAGTGGAGGCCTAAGTTGTTCTGTTATACCATTGACTAGATGTCTAAGCCACTCTAACTTGGGTGCAGAGAGGATTAGCAAGACCTGCTCTCCAAACAATCTTTTAGCAGTAAAACAAAACAAAACAACCCTGATACTTTGTTCTCTCTCTCCAATCCCTGGGCTTATCACTCAGTAGATTTCAATCACAGGTAGAAAAATGAGGAGATTCCTAAAATTCTCAATGTAACAATTTCTCTCAGTCTCTGTAAAATGGGCACTTAAAAACCTACCCCAAAAGAATATTTTGGTGACAGGCTAACAGTGAAAAATCTTTTGCATGGCCAACAATGACTAGACAGTGATTTCCTTGTTTCCTTGTGGTTGCTTTTTCCCCAATTACCTGGAACTCAGGTAGGTGAGTTGTTACTGTCTTTGAGGGTTTTCTAGGTGAAACCTGTACGTCAGTTTCTACCTCCTGAGGACGACGCGGGAATAACTCTTGGTAAGCTTTAAACCTGCCAGAAGAGAGATCAAGAATATCAAAGAAGGTATTTAAAAAAAAAAAAAAGAAAAGAAAGAAAGAAAGAAAAAAGAAGAGGCACATAAAAGGTTAACGGCCAAGGCAAATGTAGCTCAGTTTTTGGAGAAAGTTGCAGTGGAATTTGGAGAATGATAAAAAAACTCAAAAATACCTTCTTACCATTTTAATCCTTTGCTAACATCAGCCTATCCTTCCTGATAAACACTGTTACAGCAAAGGAACAGAAATGTGTGTGCACATGCATGCTTGAGTGTGTGTGCTTGTGCAGACAGGTAGGTAGAAGGGTTCTTTTGTAAGGAGTCTCAGGCAATAAACTAAGAATGGATTCAGATATCCTTGATTGGGACCAGCAGATGGCATAATGGTTACATCACTGGACTCCCACATTGTCAATTGCAGTTTGAGTCCTGAACCCAGCGGCTTAAAACTCACACATGGCATGGGAACTGGCAGTTAGCATAATGGCTATGTCGCTGGACTCCCATGTAGTCGACCGTGGTTCGCGTCCCGGACACGGTGGCTTAAAACTCACGCCGGGCGCGTGTGCGTGCATGCCCAAGATCCCGAGAGGAGAATGGAGGAGAAGGGATTGCGGCGTGACCATCCCCCCTGGGGGGTGATTTCTCAATTTCTGTCTCTATGTCTCTGTCTGTCTGTCTGGCGAGTGCACGTGCCCTATAGCGAAAATCTCTCAAAAAAACAAAAAAAAACAAACCTCACACAGGGCATGTGAATGCACATGCCCAAAATCTCTAGAGGAGAATGGAGGAGAAGGGATTGTAGCATGGCCATATCCCCAGGGGTTAATTTCTCACTTTCTGTCTCTCTGTCTCTCTAGCAAGTGCACACATCCTAGAGCAAAAATCTCCCTTACAAAAAAAAAAAAAAAAAAAAGATATTCTTGATTAATATGGCTTTTAGAAGCCAATGAACAACCCCAGGAAGAATTCTTGCTTTCACTGAAAATACTCACCACTTTTCTTCGAGAGATTTCATAACATGGCTCTGAAGCATTAACAATGAGGTTGTGCTGACTTGATGCATTTGAGTGATTTCACTGATAATAGGAGCATCACATTGCAGTATTTCTTCTAAACAAACAAAAAACAAAACAAAACAAAAGAGTGAAAAAGCCATCACATTCATCTATTTTGAGGCAGCTAGTATATTTTTTTCATTTTAGAGTCTCACAGCCCCCTGTTCTCAATCTAACTAGACTTAGAGCCCTCCACAATTTGTTTGAAAATCTCCAAACCATATTTGGAATAAGTGCAAATGTATTTGTAGATCAAACACTGTCCTAGTTTAGTGCTATACTCATTTCAAAGATGAGTGCTTAAGGGAAAAGAGATTATTAAAGGACTCATCTCTGCAGCTGGTTTGAAGTTTTTGATTTAGGGAGAAAGCGGATGAGCAAAGGATTAAAGTTAAATTGCCAGAGCAGTTGGGGAATCCAAGATTATAAATAAGTATCATAAGGGCAATATGGTTCTCCAGATGTTCAGAGAATGTTGACTTCATTAACAAGACCCAAAATTTATCAAGGATAGGATTTGGGTTTCCTCTCTCCTGTCTAGTTCATTCAAAATGAAGTACAGAACTTGATATCCTGAGACTCAAAAAATAAATATTGCTTACAAGTAAAGACTTTCTAATTTTACTTCTTTTCCTATTTCAAGGCAATCTGGACCTTTACTTTGGTTTACTGCAAACAAAACACAAACATAAAACGTCCATGTGTTCATTTGTCACAAAACAGGAGGCTCTATCTTCGTTGCTTTGTTGTAGATTTGTTTACCTCCAGGATGAAATCCCTTTTGGTTTCCCCTAGACCCCCTTTGGTTTTCCTCCAGAATAACAGGTCGGTACTTGCATCTTCTGTCTGGCCAAGATGAGTTTACATTAGCCAGATTTACCCTCCTGACTTAGGCAAGAAAACAAAGACAAAATTCTAAAACAAAGATTTTTTTTCAGGCAGACAGTTTTTCCCAGTACAACCCTCATCACACACATGGGTGGTGTACACTTCAAATGTGCATATTGTGGACTCTTGATTTTGTATCTAACTTCAACCTTGTTGATTTTTTTTTTTTTTTTGGAGAGGTTTTCGCTACAGGGTGTGTGTGCTCGCCAGAAAGACAGAGAGAGATGTAGAGACAGAAAGTGAGAAATCACCCCCCAGAGGGGATGGTCACGCCACAATCCCTTCTCCATTCTCCTCTCGGGATCTTGGGCATGCACGCACACGCACCTGGCGTGAGTTTTAAGCCACCGGGTCTGGGACACGAACCGCAGTCGACTACGTGGGAGTCCAGCGACATAGCCGTTATGCTAACTGCTGGTTCCCAGCCTTGTTGATTTTTAAAAATGGTCTTGTTTAACTTTATTTATTTATTTCGATTTGACCAGAGAGAGAGAGTGAGAGAGAGGGAAAGTGAGAAAGGAAGCCACCAGGTCTGGGACTAGAACCATGGTTGGCCATGTGGGAGTCCAGTGCCCTTAACCACCACACCACCTACCAGCCTCCAGCCTTGTTGGTTTTATAGTCAAAGACTTGAATTTGAATTCAGGTTCCATTGACTGATGAAACAGTTCATTTTTCTGAGTATGGTTTTCTTCACTAATGAATTGAGCTATTTATCCTTCAGTTAACAGGGATTAAATGAAATTCTATTTTCTGGATTAAATAAAATTAAGAGAGGATATATGTGAAAGTGTCTTACATTTGGCTTCTTTTCCTAGCATTACCACTTTGGATTTATTAGTATTGCTCTCTGGTCTCACTGTGTGTGTGTAGTGTTTTAGACAGGCTCTCACCATGTCATAATCCTCTTACCTCAGCCTCCTGAATAGCTGAAATTAGTCATGTGCCACTGTGTTTGGGTTTTTAGAGTATACTGGGAATCAAAACCAGGCCTTCCACATGGCTGCTGCTGTGGAACAGCAGTGTCTCTCTTAAATTCTGTCATAATATTGCCCCATGTGGCTGCTGTTCTGTTCTCTCCAGGGGCTTCTCCTAAGACACTAACGTGAGAAGGAAGCAGATCAGAAGAGGTTGCATACCAGGAGGCAGCTTGCCATGGAAGAAAGTCTTGATTACATTTTCTATGAGAGACTTGTAAACATCTTCATTAGTTTCCATAGAAATCTTCTGAATGGCTACCAGGAATTGCAATGGGCTTTCAGACTTCCGTTCTCGGAGAAACTCCCTGAAGAATTCCAAGTGATGTGTATTTAGGAGGACTTCTGTCAAATTTCTGAAAAACAAAGAAGTGTCATTGGTGGAGAGAAAGGACTAATGACCCTAAATTATGTTCCAAATAGAAAATAGGGAAGAATATCTCCCATGCAGTAGGGCCTTTAGCCATGTGTGAAGGGCATGGTGAATGAATTGGTTAAATCCATCTACTTCTGGAGACAAACATAATTTTATGTATCCTTCTTAGGCTTAGTCAAATAATTTGACAATCCCAATGGAAATGGGAGGCATTTTAAAGGGAATCTTTTTTTTCAAGGTAATTCTTTTATGGTAACTCTTACATTAGGAATTCAAAATAACTCCTAACTGATCCTAACTGACAGTCATCTGTGAGGCAGAACATACAGATCAGCAGGTATTGATCCATATTTCTAAATCTCCTTTGCCAATTTCTTCTTTCACTGTCCCGTCTTGGTACCCCAAATATTTCATCCTCAGTCCTCTATCTTTTTGCCTTCTGGATTTTCTTAGGTAATCTGTACAACTGAGGGGATGATTTCGATTTTCATTGATATGCTGAAATTAGGTCCTCTGAGTTCATCCTCCAAATTTCAACTAGCCATTGAACTTCATCTCTATGACATAGTTATTTAAGCCTCTCTACAAATACCCTCATGTTAACCAGCTTGTCCTTCCTCTTTTATATATATACCTGTTTCATTAAGTACAAATTTTTTTTTTTTTAGAGAGGTTTTCGTTACAGGGCGTGTGCACTCGCCAGAAATACAGAGAGAGACGGAGAGATAGAAAGTGAGAAATCACCCACCTGGGGGGGGGGGGATGGCCAACGCCGCAATCCCTTCTCCATTCTCCTCTTGGGCGGGATCTTGGGCACGCGTGCACACACACACACACACGCCTGGCGGGATTTAAGCCCGCCGGTCCGGGACTCGAATCGCGACTACATGAGAATCCAGCAACATAGCCATTACGCTAACTGCTGGTCCCCATTAAGTACAGTGTTAGGTGCAGGCTTTTAATAGATGACCTTTATGAAAATAACATAGTTCCCCCTTCTATTCTAATTTACTAGAGAGTTTTTATATAAGTGAGTGCTGGATTTTATAAAATGCTTTTCTGTGTGAATTCAGATAATTGTATGACTTTTCTCCCTTATGTTATTAATATGGTATATTAGATTAATAGATTTTTGAATGTTAAGTCAAACTTGCTTTGCTAGGATAAATCCCACTTGGTCATGCTGTACAACCTATTTTATATGTTCCTACATTTTTTTTTTTTTGAAAGGTTTTTGCTATAGGGCACGTGCGCTTGCCAGAAAGAGAGAAAGAGAGACAGAAAGCGAGAAATCACCCCCCAGGGGTGATGGCCATGCCGTAATCCCTTCTCCTCCATTCTCCTCTCGGGATCTTGGGCACGCACGCACACGCACCCGGTGTGAGTTTAAGCCACTGGGTCCGGGACTTGAACCACGGTTGACTACGTGGGAGTCCAACGACATAGCCATTACGCTAACTGCTGGTCCCATATGTTCCTACATTTGATTTGCTAATGTCTTGTTAAGGATGTTTATATTAGGTTCAAGAGAGAGTAATGATTTCCTTTTTTTTTTTTTTTTTTTTTTTTTTAAGGTTTTTGCCATAGGGCACATGCACTTGACTCTCAGAGGAAAAGTGAGAAACCATTTCCTGGGGTGGATGCCCACTCTACAATCCTTTCTCCTCCATTCTCCTCTCAAGATTTTGGGCATGAGATTAGGATCACTGAAGACCTTCTGCCCGGCTTTACCATCCTACCCCCAAGATCTAGCCAAGAGCCAGAGATTGCAGGTTATTTCTCATGCATGCCTCTGAATGCTCAGATTTAACTCCAAAAACTAAAGAAAAAAATGTATAACCCATCAGATGACCAGAAACCACCGCAGAGGCACAAGAAATATAAGAAACCAAAAAAATATTTCTCCCCTAAGGTAAAAGAATAACTCCTCATCCCCCACAGACAATATAAGGGAACTCATGGAAATGCCAGCTAAATGATTTAAAATATTCATAGTGATAAAGCTAACAGAGATGCAAGAGAAGAGAGACAACGAACTCCAGAAGAAGCAGGAAAAAGAGACAATAGTTCCAAAAGGTGAGGAAGTTCTTGCATGATCTGAAAGAAGAAATACACATCATAAAAAAGAATCAAATGGAATTGTTAGAGATGAAGGTTGTAATATAGGACATCATGCAGAAGATCGAATCTCAGATGTAGAAGATAGAACCTCTGACCTAGAAAAATTCACCAAAAGACAGAGAAAATAACCCCCCAAAAATGAGAATAACATGAGTAATACTAGATATCATTGGACACCCAAACATCTGGATCATTGGTATCCCAGAAGGTGAAGAAAATAATAAGGACATTAATAACCTATTCCATGAAATTCTGGAAAAAATTTTTCCAAACCTAGAGAGGCATTCCAATATCCAGACCCAAGAAATACAAAGGACCCCACATAGAATCAACCCAAGATCTTCTCTAAGGCACAACATAGCCAGATTGACCAAAACCACAGACAGACAAGATACTAAATTTGGCAAGAGAGAAACACAGTTACTTTCAAAGGATATCCCATCAGGTTAAGCTCCGACCTTTCATTGGAAACAATGCAAGCAAGGAAAGAATGGGAAAATATATTTCAAGTGTTAAGTGGAAAACAATTCCAACCAAGAATACTATACCCAGCAAGATTATCTTTCATATGGGAAAAAAAAGACAAAAACATTCTCAGTTAAACAACTCTCCAGGAAGTGCTATACCAGGAAAACTAAAGTTGGACACACAGACGTAAGAATACGAAAAACAACCAAGAAAATGGCCATCCTAATGGTAGGGACAAGTCCAGAGTTGAATGTTAACTTCTAGAGTTTAAATGGAAATATCAGACCATAGTAACACTGTAAATTCAATAGAATAGAGATTGTGTGAGACTGAACTGGTGAAATAGAATTTCTTGACTTCAAAACATTACTGATTTTCTGCTATGCTTTGATTTCCAGATTTAAAGATTTTGGTCTTCTCTTGATCTTCTGATAAGTTTATCTACCTTCTATTGAACTGAATCCTAATCCTTTTCCCTGGCTTTTAAGTCTTAAGGAAATTTCTCTTAACATTTTAAAATGTTGATCTATTAAAACTAAAACTTTCTTTTTCAAATTAAAAAATATCTATTTAATGACTGTAGTAAGCTATATAGCCCCAGCTAGGTGCTATTTTATAGTATGTTCACTTTACTCACTGAGGTTGATGCCTAAAGTCAGACATGTGTTCTTAGACATGTATTTATCAGCTGTGCTTGCTATTGAAAGTTTTTAAATTAATTAAGATCTTTAGTGAATCGATAAAATGTGAAAAAAAAAAAGGCATGGAAAACAACTGTAGATACCAGAGACAGTGTGGGAGGAGGACGGCAAATGGCAGAGGGTGAAACGTAGTGAATCAAGGAGGGGGGAAGGCAAAATATATAAGAAACAAGAAATGAAAAAATTATTTGATGATGATAACATGTATAGTAATATCCATGACTGAGCCAATATACAGTGTATTCTGCATGGAAAATCTCATTTTGTATACTGTACTGATGTACAGTGAATGAATGTAAACAAATAAATTTAAATTAATAATAATAATAATAAAAAAGATTTGGGGTGTGCAAGTACATGCATCTGGAATGATTTTCAAGCCACCAGGTCTGGGACTCAAACTGTGGTTGGCCATGTGGGAATCCAGCATTTTAACCATCATGCCGTCTGCTAGCCCCAGAGAGTATCAGTTTTATAATGCCTTCATTTAGCTCTGGGATCAGAATAATACTGAACTCAAAGAATAAGTTGGCAAATATTTCTTCTTTCTCTGGTTCCTTGAAGAGTTCATGGAATATTAGTATTATTTCTCCTTTAAATATTTCATACAATTCTGTGTGTCTGAGATTTTTTTTCGGAGAGGTTTTCACTATAGGGCACGTACACTTGCCAGACAGACAGAGAGAGAGAGACAGAGAGACAGAAAAAGAGAAATCACTCCCCAGGGAGGATGGCCACGCCACAATCCCTTCTCCTCCATTCTCCTCTCGAAATCTTGGGCACGTATGCACATGCACCCAGCGTGTGTTTAAGCCACCGGGTCTGGGACTTGAACCACAGTCGGCTACATGGGAATCCAGCGACATAGCTATTACGCCAACTGCTGGTCCTGTGTCTGAGATTTTTTTAATGTGAGACTTTTTTCTTTTTGTTTGTTTGATTTCCTTTTTCTTTGCAAGTCTTTATAATCTTTTTCATTTCCATAGAATCAGTACTTGTGTTTTATCTCTCAGTCCTGATTTTGGTGATTTGTGTCATCTTACTTTTTTCCCTTGGTTGGTATAGCTGATGGTTTATCAATTTTGTTCATCTTTATAAAAAAATATGTTTGCCTGGATTTTCTCTATTGTTTTCTTTTTATTTTATTGATTTATACTCTAATATTTACTTCCTTCGAGTATGGTTTGAATATATCGCCCCACACCTTTGGTCTTGTTGTTTCCTGATGTAGAGTAAACTTTGATTGTGTTGCAGTGTCCTTGAATGTGATGTATCTTGATTCTCTTGTAGTACTCAAGACTGTCTTTTTTTGTCTCTCAACAGTGATTACGTGTCTAGGTGTGAATCTATTTGAGTTTATCCTACTTAGGGTTGACTAACTTTCTTCTATATCTTTATTAAGGGTTTTAATGAAATTTGAGAGGTATTCAACCATCACATATTCAAAAATTTTTCAGCCACATTTACTCCCTTTCCTTTTCTTCTACGACTTCCACTACTTATATGTTGATATGGTTTCCCTAAGGTCCCTGAGATTCTGTTTCTTTGTTCTTTTTTTTCTTCATGTTGGCTTAATAACTATCTTCAAGTTCATTAATTCCGCCAACTCAAATCTGCTGTTAACTTGCTCTAGTAGAATGAATTTCAGAGCTTGGGAAGTATGGGGGTAAAGGGTGTAGAGAGGGATGTTGATTAACAAAGACAAAATTACAGATAAATAAGAGAAACAATGTGCTAGGATTATAAAGTACAGAAGAGAGAACGGGTTGACAACTGACTATATATTTCAGAGTAGCTAAAAAAAAGAGGATTTTGAATATTCCCAACACTAAATAATGACAAATGGTTGAGAGAATGGGTCTATGAATTACCCTGGTTTAATCATTATATATTGTATTTATGTACTGAAAAATCACATTGTACCCCCACAAACATATGTAATTATTACATGTTAAAAAAAAATTCTCAGGCCAACCAGGTGGCGTGGCAGTTAAGGGGCTGGATCTCACATGGCTGGCTATACGATTTGAGTCCTGGACCTGGCAGCTTGACAGACACACTAGGCATGTTTGCATGCCTGCCCAAAATCCTGAGAGGAGAACAAAGGAGAGGTCTGTGGCATGGTCATTACCCCCTAGGAGGTGCTCTCTCACTCCCCAGTCACCCTCTCTCCAGCAAGTGCCCATGTTCTATAGCAAATTTAAAACAAAAGAAAAAAATTCTCTTTCATTTTAGCTATTGTACTTTTCAACTCCAGATTTTTATTTGGTTCTATTTTATAATTTCTGCCTCATTATTGATAGCCTCTACTTGACCAATCATCATCATTACACTTTCCTTTAATTCTCTGAACATAGTTTTCTTTAATTCATTGAACATGTGGATTAGAAGTCTTTGGTAAATCAAACTGAATCTGAATCACCTCAGAGAAAGTTTTTATTGACTGCTTTTTCCCTCCCGTGTAGGGGCCATACTTTCCTGGTTTTGTTTTATTGTTTGTAAGTCTGTAATTTTGTTTGTTTGTTTAAAGCTGTTATTTTGGATAATTTATTACAGCAATTTTGGAATCTGATCCCAACCACACCTCTCATCCAGGAAAGGTTGTTGCTGTTGATGGTTTTGTGTGCTTTTTCTATTTTGGTCTTGTTAAGTAACTTACCCAAGCTAATTCTGTAGCTTATGTTGCCCCTGCAGTGTGTGGCCACTGAAATGTGTGTTCAGTTTTTTTTTTTTTTTTTTTTGCTAGAGAATGCATGTACTTGCTAGAGAGAGACAGTGAGAGAGAGAGGGAAAGTAAAAAAACACCCCTTCCCAGGGGATGGCCATACTGTAATCCCTTCTCCTCCATGCCTCCCTCTTTTCTGGATTTTGGGCATACACATGTTCCTGGTGTGTTTTTCTGGCTACCGGATTCAGAACTCAAATTGCATAATCAGCCATGTGGGGTCCAGCTGCCTTAACCACTGCACTATCAGCTGGCCCAGCTGTTTTTCTTTTAAAAATTCTTTTTATTTTTAATCCTAGCTTTTGGGGCCTTATGATGAGTCAAAAATCAGTAGCTTCCTGGGTCTCTCTTTGGTCTCCATTGAGTATTTGCACAGACTTACCAAAACCTCCCAGAGGATATCTTATTCCCCAGATCTTCTTTTTATACTTTGGCTGTTTTACTGTTTACCCAACTACTATGTCTGCTTTATGGGCCTGTGATGGTGGTCTTTCTGTTCATTTGCACAAAACTTGCTATTCTGTGGACAATGATCCTCATCCTGAGCTTTTCTGTAGAGGACCAAAGTCTGCAGGCCCGTCTGCTGGCTGCCTGACTGCTGCTGGTCCTCATGGCTATCACGCTTATGGGTGACACAAGTAATTCCACAGACTCCACTGTTCCTCCTGAGGCTTGGAAATCTTCAATAAACACTTTTGAATTTGTGACATGTTTTGAGTTATTTTACAGCATTCTGAAATTTTTTTGGACAGATTTGCCCAGTTTTATCATTGCTTTTATGAGGAGACAATTGGCTAGGTTCTTATTCTACCATTCCAGTAGCTTGAGCCTTCCACTGTGTTTTTGTGTTTGTTTGTTTGTTTACATTTATATCTTTCCTTCCATTTCCACCTCCCCTATTTACTAAAGACCTCTAATAACATTTTCCTGAACAACTGCAACAACCTTCCAACTATTACTTCTGCCTTCAATCTCTGGGTCTCCGAGGGACACGAACCGCGGTCGACTACGTGGAAGTCCAGCGACATAGCCATTACGCTAACTGCTGGTTCCCTCCACTATGTTTTTGTGTTTGTTTGTTTGTTTACATTTATATCTTTCCTTCCATTTCCACCTCCCCTATTTACTAAAGACCTCTAATAACATTTTCCTGAACAACTGCAACAACCTTCCAACTATTACTTCTGCCTTCAATCTCTGGGTCTCCGATCATCTTCTATTACCATTCCTATTTCTGCCAGTGTAACGTTTTTAAACTCTCTATCTACAGAAGGTATTTCTGCCACTCCCTGTATCAACAAACCCCAATGAATCCTTGATGCATTTATTTATTTACTTATCTTTCAAGCATTTTTAAAGAATTATTTTATTTAACTTTATTTATTTATTTAAAATTTGACCAGAGAGGGACAGAGTTGGGTGGTGGGAGTGAGAAAGCAAGCCACCAGGTCTGGGACTCGAACTGCAGTCAGACATGTGGGGAGTCCAGCTACCTTAGCCACCACACCACCTGCCGGCTCCTCCTCGCTGCATTTAATCGATACATTTCTTAATCATTTACCTAAGAATTTTTAGTTATTTGGTCTCAATCTGGCTTTCTGATTTTATGTTCCTTCAACTTTGTGTTCTGTGTTTCAACGCCATCAGATTATTTTCAAGTTTTTAAATACTACCTTTCTATTTATATGGGTTTATATCTTTGTGCCATTTCTTTAACTTGTGGGTAGAACTTAGCCCACAATGTTCCCATTTCTTTGCAATTGGATGCTTTTATGCTATATAGGGCTTCTTTTGATACCCGTTTTCTAATCCTCACTAAAGATTTATTTCTTCTTCCACTATACTCCCATAGTAATTAACTAATATTTTATCATAACATTTAAGGTCAGCTTTGCATTTTATTTAGTTCCATATTGAATTAAAAGCAAGGACTGTGTCTTATTTTTTATCATTAGCACACACGGGATGTCTGTGTGTGCTAATATATGATCAATAACTGTTTACTGCATTGAAAAGGCTAACAAAGGTTAAAAGAATTGTAACTATGGTCTCCATGGGTCATTGCGTTGTGGTCTGAATTATAATTATGCTGTGTATCTCTCAGCAATGTAATAATCTTATGAATATATCATTTAGAAAAGACTTCTGTGATATTTATGCTCAACTAAACTGAAAAATAGGTCTATCTATGGACATAGTGGAGGGCAGTGAGTAGTAAATACTGAAACAACAAAAGGAATAAATGAACTTCAGGGAATAATTTCAATTACCTGAGGGAGAGGAAGATCTATCTAGGGTGTTCAGAAGAGACAGAAGTCTTATCATCCTTAACGAATGTAATCAGCAACAAAAAACATTCCTGTAGAACCTTATTCTACATAAAATATTTTGCCTAAGACTTTGACTATCTAATTTGTACCATAGCATCCTTATCATCTGAAAGAGGATCTTTCACATAGTTAACCATTAATAGAGAATAACTGAATAAAAATTAATGAATGAGTTAAAAATGGCATGGCCTAAAAGAAAATTACAGTCAAGAAGGTGGAAAGCATACCTAAAATATGAAGAGCAGAGGGGCCAATAGGTAGCATTGTGGTCAAGGTGCTGGACTCCCACATGGCCAACTGTGGTTTGAGTTCTGGACCTAAAAGCTTGCTTTCTCACTCTCTCTCTCTCTCATCAAATTAAAAAATAATTTAAAAAATGAATAAAATTAAATAACATAATCCTTAGAAAAGCACATAAAGAGCAGTAGAAGTCAGTACATTGTAAATGTTTGGTATTGCACTTTTGGGATTTAGAGTTTCAGAGAAGAAAGAAATAACATTTGGAGAAATTTTTATGTAGAAATGGCCTTAATGTGGGGCTGCCAGGTAGTGTGGTGGTTAAGGGTGCTAGACTCCCACATGGCCAA